TAGGTCACTAAAATTACATATATTCATATGATTATTATTTCACCATACCAAAACCCATACCTTCGGTTTCCTCACATCCTTGAGCTCAAGTTCCCCAATTAACCTCTTGCCCGTATCGATTTACAACTTAACAATGCCTGAAATATTTTTCCCCATTTACCCAGAAGTTGAATGGTACTGGCAATTGCGATTTTATTTCACTCGGAATTACCTGCTGCAGAAGAAATATAATAACCCCGACCATTAGAAGACAAACAAGCATCCCGAGCACCGCAAAATTGCCAGAGCGAGTGCCTCAGTCTGTCTCTGGCTTGGGCGTGTTTGTGTTTGGCTGCAAGTTGCCCCCTTGCGTGGCACGCCCCGGCAACCTTTCAACTTTATTTATTAAAAGTGCTTATTACTTTAACACTTGAGCGCGATTTAACACGATTTGCTCAAGTATTTTCGTACGACAACGAGGACACATTCCGGCGTTCTCGTTCTCGTTCTCCTTTCCCAAACGCCAAAGAGCAAAAGCGAGTGTCAAGGTATGTCTCTGTCTGGGCCAACTGTCTGTCTGTCTGTCTTGAGTGTCCTGTGCCAGGGTCCTTGTACTCGCACTCGTCCTCGTCCTCGTCCTGGTCCTGATGCCCCCGTGCTTTCCTCTTAGGATCCTTGAGTATTTAGCTTACCTACCAAACACCAAAAGCAGTTTCATCTTTTTCATGTGCAGCACAAGCAGCTTCGCCCAAGAAAGCAGCTTCATCATTTTTACTCTTTTTTTCACACTTTTCACACACAGTAAGAATAAAAATGTGTGTTATTTTTTTGAATTATTTATATAAGAAGTAAGAAGTGTGAATTCATAGAAGTGATATCAGATTAAGACTTTCCCTCAACTTAAACCCTTTCAGAGTTCTCTTTGTATTTATGTAAAATCATAATTTCTAGTTAAAATCCAATCCAATTTCCCAGCTAATTAATTTGCTATTTCTTTCAGTGTACCCACACAGTTGTCCTTGGATGCTGGCTGCTAGTGTGAGTTGGGTCCTTGCTTGCTCTTCAACGCCTGACTGTTGGCTGTAGATCGACTTGACTCTCGGCTTCAGCTTCTGTCCCTGTTCCAGCTTCTTTTTTGCCCCCTTTTTTCCGGTGCCACGCCTCCTCCTACCACGAGCTGCTATCATTGCCAGCATTTTGTTGGGGGTTCCCCTGGAGGGGGGTTCTTGGGGCCTGCCCCCAATATTGCCCTTGACTGTTGTCAACATGTTCAGCGTATTTGTTGTTCGAGTTGCTTCTGCTCCTGCTGCTGTTGTTGCTGTTGTGTTGCTGTTGACTTTAAGTGTGTTGATTTCATACAATTAACTTTTTGTCTGTTTGTTTTGTGCGACTTCTGCTGGCGTTCGCTCTAATTTCCGGCACCGGGAAAAGTCACTGACATCGTTTGACAGCCACGTGAGCTTTAACAAGCATCAGAGACCGCACAACGTGGCGTATACGCAACGTGATTGTTTTCTTTATTACTTTTTTTTTTTCTGCCAAAGCAAGCTGGTTAAATTTAATATTTATTTTTATGCTTTTTGATTTAATTCTTTACTGTTTCAACTTTATTGTGTGTTCGTGTGTGGTGTAGCCGCAGTCATGAGGTTTTTTCGCATTGTTACTGCTTTGGGGATTTATGAAATATTTAGTTTTTCTTGTTATTTTTACTGCTTGCTCAGGTGATTTTTATTTTTATTTCCATCACGGGACTCGCATTAAGTTCAGGCTTTTTATGTATATATATTTTGGTCTTACGATGCGTTGTGTGACGGACTGTGTGAAATGTCATTTGTTTTAATTTTGCCCGCGGTACGTGCAGAGGATTATTTTAATTTATTTCAAGCTCGCACCTTTTAAACATTATTTCTGGGCTTTAAAGCAGAGACTTCCATAAATGTTTTCGAAAAATATCTCTCTGCTTAAAATTAGCATGGCACAATCTTGGGTGATTTATCAACATGTATATATTTTGGGCCATAAAAAGCAGATACATAAACTCCTTGCTCCTTGGTGATTAATGCGTCATAATTAGAGTTGCGAGCCGGGTACATGCATAATTCCACGTGGCAATCCTGTAAATCATTCGCTGTGAATGTGTGTGTGGTGTCCTCGTAATCTAGCCACCGCCAAAATTTCAGAATTTGGTATTCCGGTATATCTATCCGTCTGTCAGAGACACACTTAACTTTCGGCTGCTGGCAGGTTCATCGCCAAAAGTGTCGTCGCCGGCGAAACACCAGAAACGCCCCTCTCTCCGACTCCCTGTCAGCCGAAATAAATGCGTTATGCGTGCGCTTAAGTGCTCATTAATTTGGAATGTCAAACTATGTTGACTAACGCAAATGTTCCACGTTTAATCGCTTCGAGGAGGACCTCGTTTTGCGGCCTTGATGAGTTCCCGGCATGCTCTCAAAGCCGCATCCCTGTCAAATTGATTTAGAAGAGCCTCATAAAAGCAGTCCGGTCAACATTTAGGCCCATAGAAATCCCCCCTTATCCCCACTGCCAGGACATACTACTAGCTTCAACCACCAAAACCCAACATTCATTCTAGCCAAAAATAGAGGCCGACATCAGGTGAAGGGACTTCACGTAGGCAAGGCATTTTCAATTGAGATATTTGCAAATGTTGCTGCTGCTAATGTGCACATAGAGAAATTATTTAATATAGGTAAAGCTTATTTGAAATCTTTTTATTTAAGTTTTTTATAGACAAATGAATTAAGAAATATAAATTTCAATTATTTAATGTGTTTATTGAACTATTTTTGGTTGCATTTTTATGCTATCTTTATGCGTCTTTTCTTTATTATTTTATTTTTGCAAAGGTATTATCATTTTAGTCCGAAGCTTAAAACTTTATGAAGCAGTCATTTCCGACGCATATATTATATGTATTCTTGATCACCACTAGAAGACGAATTGAACTAGCCACGTCTGGTAAAAAAAATAAACGTAGACAGAAACTTTTTTTCGAATGAATATGAATGTTTTATCCCAATCAATCGATAACCAATTGGACTTATAACCATTCCAAATAAAGTATAATTTTCCCCCAGTATTTCTTTCATTTCGGGGCATTGTTGCTCGTGATCTCCTGGACTGAAGTTGCAGAGAAAAAAAAAGAGAAAAAAACCAACAACGAACTGGCCTAAAAGAGAGATGCGGGCTGTCTGGCCAACGTGGCCATTGGGCAACGTGCAACGCAACTGGAGGCAGCAGACGTGCCGTCCTTGCGGTCAGTTGTTGCACGTTGCAGGGTCAGAAGTCATTCGGCCTCTATTAGCCTGCTAATTGAAATACCAGCAGCAGGAGCAGCAGCAAGGACTCGGGCCGAGCAATGGGTTAACTGTTGCCTGTGGCCCCGGCTTCAATCCATGGCATCCTCTGGCAGTGCCAAGCGAAAGATACGGAAAGTATAAACTAATTAAGAGTTGCCAGCCTTGCCAAAGGTAAGTTGAAAGTTCATTAATTAAATAGTACACAGATTTGTGACTCCTCATTGATTTGGAACTGTTCAAAAGGAGTCTTTGAACGAGGTTTCTTAGTGGGTTTTGCAGTGAGCAAGGGATCAAAGAATATCCTTTTTTTACTAACAAGTCTACAAGCTTTGCCTTGTTAATGTTCTTTCCTTTCAAAAACTACAGAATATTAAGACAGCCTGCCTTAATATATAATAACTTCTAGTCCCTGCTCATAATTATTCTCATCACATGCCACCATCAGCATAATTATCTCACGTTTATTGCGCAATCCTTTGGCATCTTTATATACATTTTTATTTATTTTTTTCGCGCTCTTGTTTACGTGCAATGCAGTTGGGATTCCATCATTAGGAATTAAGCAAAAGTCAGTGGCGGAAGTTAAGTACTTGTCAAGTGACGATGATGCCGGAGTTCTTGGCAAGGCCAAAAGTTTTTAGAGTATGCGGGTTATTTCCTCCCTCATCTGACTTCCGTCCTCGACTCCATTCAACTTTTACTTCGTTTCGTTTCGCTTCACTCTGCGCTTTTTTTTTGTATTCATTCCTGGTGCCACCAGCTACTGCTGCTGCCTGCTGCATCCTTAAATATTTTCCCTTTAATTAAAATTTCAACAAGCCAGACTCCCGGCAGAAGAGACAGGGAGAAACACACAGAGAAACGGTGGAGGAGCAGGAACATGCCCGCATAAATTAACTTTTGCGTAGGTGACTGTGTACGGGTTTTTGTATGGAGTTACGCCGGGGTCTTTGGAATACGGAATACGGAACGGAATACGGTAGAGAGCGTGGAGCCTTTGGTAAGCTGGGCGTAAGTGCCTTATCTTAATGCCCCTCCGCCATATCTGGGGCCTAATGCATATAATAGGCCAGGCCTGCTATTTAAAGTCTAACAACCCTTTTTATATGCAAATTGTTGCGCCACACGTACACGCCCCAGCGCCCTTTTTTCCCCCACTCCCATCCTCCACCGGCAACTTGACATTTTTTCTAGATATTTTTCTACCCCCTTTTTAATTTCCCTCATTTAAACATTTTGTGAAAAGTCATATATATACTCGTTGTGGGTGGCGACCGTGTGCGTGAATTACGTTTCAACTTTTTACACGACTTTGGGTCTCCTGGAGTGTGTGTCTCTCTCTGTGTGTGTGTGTGTGTGAAAAACGTTAAAATAATTTGCAATTTAAATAGTTTTAATTAACTTTCACTAATTTGCTGTCGCTCAACTTGCACAAGTTGGCAAACTAATTTTAAAGTGATTTATTATTTAAACAGCTTGATGATTGGCAGTGCCTGCCACAAAAAAATGTGGCAAAAAGAGAGAGAGAGAGAGAGGGGGAGAGAGACCAACTGCCAGCGGCCTAATTAGCTAAAGGTGTAGGACCTCCTCCTCCTCCCCCACATTTGCGGTTTGTCCTTTGACTAACTGAAATTGGTGTAAAAACGCCGCTGGCTTTTGGCCCAAAACATTGCGAGATTCTAGTTTGTGGCTGCGTTTATTGTCCACAATCAATTGAACAAAAGTTTTCAGGGGGAAATTCTTTTGTATATAGAATAGAATATAGGATTCCTTTCGGTTTCAGGTCATTATCTGGCATTGACCCCAAAACGTAGGCCACAAGCAACCGCCAGTACCATAGGCATGAGCACGATTATAGCTACGGACCAGCAAAAGTCCTACAATGAGTATCAGTAGGATCATTAGCACAAGGATAACAGTAGCCCACTTATCAAGGCTGAATCTCTTCCAGAAACTAAGGAAATTTTAATGAATATTAAAGTAAGGTATGTTAATTTATGTTAAATTATACCCTTGTCCACATTTGGGTTTTGTTTTGAGTTTGTTCTTTTCCAAGATCGATGAAGGCCTGCAGAGGAGTAACTGGCTTCTTTTCCTAGTCAATTGGACCACCTGGCGGGCCTGATAGCCCAATCTTTTACCACATTCAGCAAAGATCTCTGTCACACTATCACGCCTTCTTATCACTGGCACCAGCTCAGGTGTGGTTGGCTCTGGGCAATCACTAAGAGAAGTTATTATTTCTTTTTGAACCATAATTATAGCGAAAAACTAACAGATTTATAATTATATTCGGAGAAATATGACAAGTGATGCAAATCTTTTTTTCTTTATGTATTGTTAGCTCTTTGGTGATGTAATTCCCAAGGATGTGTTTGTTTTTACTTAAAAACTCTTAGCACTTAAAGATATATAAGTCTTATTTCAACGCCCTCAAGGAATTTAAATGTTTTTTATATATAATAAATAATTTATTATAATAAAACCAGGAAGAAAGTTTATTATCACATTTATTAATTTATTCTCTCAACCCCAAAATCTCTCTCTCACTTTAAGGTGCAGCCCCTTAGGGTATATATCAAGAATATTTTGATTATCCATTCCGTCGGCGGCCATCTGGGCCGTCTTAAGCCATTTCAACGTCTAAGACAGAATTAATAACATTATGCAAATTTCAAAAACCGACCCATAAATCAACGCATTGAATTTGCCATGAAATAAATGCGTGCCCAAAAGGCAAATAATGGCAGAGTCATTAGATAAATTTATATCGAAAGGCAAACAAACAGCGGCAAATTGAAAGAGCGACACAAAAACAAAAAAAGGAAAACACAGACAGCAACAAATGTGAAGATAAGCGGGGAAAATCGATAAGAACGGGCAAATTGAAACCGAAAATTTACAGTAATCAGCATAATATAGAAAACCGCCATTAAAATCATTATGTACCAAGTTTAATGCCAATTTATGGCTGATTTCAATTTAAGTGGCGCCACCAATGGGGGAGTCCTTCCTACAACCAAAAAAAAAAAAACAAATATATAGAGAATACACACAGAAATACACCAAAAACCTGCTGGCGTTAATTTCCAATAAAAAGCCGCTCTGCAAAAAGTAATTAACAACAAATTACGAAACCGTTGCAGGCAACAACAGCCGCAAACCAACACACTTAAAGCTAATTAAATTTTACGCTGATTCGCGTCGAACCCCTCTCATTCCTCTACAAAAACCAAACCCATAACTGATTGTTGGCAATAACGACAGCCGCAGAGAGCCAAGAGCCACAACACATCTGCTGTGGGTCCTCGACAATAATGTGTATTGGTAAAATAAACCCATAAAAGCATATCCTCTCAAAAATCTAAAATAAAATATAAACAAATCATGTCCAACCATAAGTTTCCCTCAATGATTTACTTCTAAATATACTTTCCTCTGGTTAATTAAAAACTTCTCTTTAGGGTTTTCTTCAAATTAAAATTATACATTTTAGTAAACGCATTTCTGTTCAAAATTATAAACTTGTTTACACATTTTCCTTTGCTCTTTCTGTTTTAAATCAAAAAACCTTCAACAAAAATAATCAAAATGAAAAGCTAAACTTTTCATTTACAAGAAAGCTTCCTTTGCCTTTACGTCTGCTCTCTCTCTTGGCAAATGAAATCAAATAAATTAAGCGATGACCAACAGCCAAACACAATTTGAAGCCACCTAATTGATTTGCCAATAAAATTCACAAAACTCCAGCCGCAGTTGCCGCCAAAAAAGGACTCGGAAGGACCCGTAGCCTGTAATTTGTAACTGGCCAACTGCAAGAGCCAAAGTAATTGACACACACACACAAACCCTCTGCACACACACTACACTACAACACACACACACACACACACACTGGCGAGCAACCATACATATGCACATTAATTACCGCAAAGTAAAGGAAGGCGAAAAGGTGGGAAAGTCTGGCAGGAAAACTCTATGACGACACCGACGCCTGGCCGAAAAACCATTGGGTAGGCCAGCGATGCGAAACTAATGTGCAGCGGTCTGTGGAAATGTCATTCGTGTGCAATTGTTGCTCCGGCCTCATATTGCCTTTTGGCCATTTTCCACATTACAGAGCCCTGCGATCATTGGTTAGATTCATAGCTCAATGGAATGTGTGTTTTATGTGGGAATTTTGAGAACATTTGGGAACACGTTGAGATAAGGAGATATTGTATATATTTATTTTAATTGAGATGAAAATAAGAAAAGGAAAGTTACTTAGGGAAGTGAAAGGTTATATACCCTTGCAGTTTGCAATTAAATTATAAAATCGTATGGGAAATCGATTATAATCGCACTTTTTAATCAATATCTTTGTTTGGAAATTCGTTCGACAAATCAAATCTTAAAAATCTCATAACTCGGCCAAAAAATGATACATTTCAATTTGGAAAGCTGTTTTGTTTCAGTTTTTATAAGGTTTTTATGAATACTTAGCTTAACATTTAAAGAAATTCAAATTTTTGCAAATTTTTTTTTTTTTATACCCTTGCAGGGTATTATAATTTCAGTCAGAAGTTTGCAACGCAGTGAAGGAGGCACCTCCGACTATATAAAGTATATATATTCTTGATCAGGATCAACAGCCGAGTCGATCTAGCCATGTCCGTCTGTCCGTCTGTCCGTCTGTCCGTTTCTACGCAAACTAGTCTCTCAGTTTTGAAGCTATCTGAATGAAACTTTGTAGTTAGCCTCGTATATACTCTCACTCGTATATATGTCGGAACGGGCCGGATCGGACGACTATATCATATAGCTGCCATAGGAATGACCGGAAAATTTTTACAAAAAAAAATTTAACTTTTTCAGTTTTCAATAGAATTGAATCAAATTTGAGATATAGCCATTTTACTATACTCTTCAATTTTGTACGAAATTTTATAAAAATCGGACTACTATATCATATAGCTCCCATAGGAACGATCGAGAAATTAATACAATTAAATTTATAACTTTTTTAGTTTTCAGCTGATTTTCATCAAATTTGAGGTATAGCTATTTTATATTAGTCTTAAATTATGTGTCAAATTTTATGAAAATCGGACGACTATATCTTATAGGTGCCATACAAACGATCGTTTGATGTAGAGGAAATATGCAAATCTGTGTATGTAAAACTGCAAATATAATATGTATAGGTGAATGAAATGAAAGCAGCTATTACTTCATTGTTTTTTAACACAAATATATATAATTTATATTGTATGGTTTTTTATTCATAGAAGTTCTATCTGCAAGGGTATATAAACTTCGGCGTGCCGAAGATAGCTTTCTTTCTTGTTAAATTTGAAACATAGAAGAAAATTAATTTTTTGACCGGACAAAGCCAGGCCGATTCGGCTATTGATTCTGATCAAGAATATATATGATTTATAGGGTCGGAAATGACTCCTTGAGATAGTTTCAAGCTGCTGACAAAAATTATTATACCCTTCAAAGGTATTAAGATTCAGCTCAAAGAAGCTGGGGTCGGAAAAATTTTTTTTTTGAAATTTGAAAGCTGGAATCGTTTGCCCATCGTTTGCCCATGTTTGCCCACCTTTTACTTTTTTTTGCCCACGTCCAGTTTTGAAAATATTCGACTTTGAAAATTTTCATCATTTTTCGAAAAACCAAAAGTTGACTTTTTTCAAAATTTTTTTTTGGAAATCGCAATAACATCGTTTGCCCACGTTTGCCCACCCTTTAGAATTTTGAAAAAACTTCAAGTTTAGAAAATTTTCAAAATTGTACTAGGAAATTTTGAATTTTAAAATTTTGAAAACTGGAATCGTTTGCCCATTCGTTGCCCATGTTTGCCCACCCTTTACTTTTTTTTGACCACGTCCAGTTTTGAAAATATTCAACTTTGAAAATTTTTCAAAATTATAACGTTTGCCCACCCTCTAAAACTAAATATTTTTAACAAAAAACGTTTGCCCACCTCTTAAAACTAAATAAAATCGTTTGCCCACCCTTTAAAATTAAAAAATATCGTTTGCCCACCCCTTAAAACTACGTTTTTTTTAAGAAAAAACGTTTGCCCACCTCTTAAAACTAAATAAAATCGTTTGCCCACCCCCTAAAATTAAATATTTTTAACAAAAAACGATTGCCCACCTCTTAAAACTAAATAAAATCGTTTGCCCACCCTTTAAAATTAAAAAATATCGTTTGCCCACCCCCTAAAACTAAGTTTTTTTAAGAAAAAACGTTTGCCCACCTCTTAAAACTAAATAAAATCGTTTGCCCACCCCCTAAAATTAAATATTTTTAACAAAAAACGATTGCCCACCTCTTAAAACTAAATAAAATCGTTTGCCCACCCTTTAAAATTAAAAAATATTGTTTGCCCACCCTTTAAAATTAAAAAATATTGTTTGCCCACCCCCTAAAATTAAATATTTTTAACAAAAAACGATTGCCCACCTCTTAAAACTAAATAAAATCGTTTGCCCACCCTTTAAAATTAAAAAATATTGTTTGCCCACCCCCTAAAATTAAATATTTTTAACAAAAAATGATTGCCCATGTCCTAAAACTAAATAAAATCGTTTGCCCACCCTTTAAAATTAAAAAATTTCGTTTGCCCACCCCTTAAAATTAAATATTTTTAACAAAAAACGATTGCCCACCTCTTAAAACTAAATAAAATCGTTTGCCCACCCTTTAAAATTAAAAAATATTGTTTGCCCATCCCCTAAAACTAAATATTTTTAACAAAAATCGTTTGCCCATTTCTTAAAACTATATAAAAACGTTTGCCCACCCTTTAAAATTAAATATTATCGTTTGCCCATCCCTTAATTTTAAGTATTTATATTAAAAGACGTTTGCCCATGTCTTAAAATTGAATATTATCCCTTAATTTTAAGTATTTATATTAAAAGACGTTTGTCCATGTCTTAAAATTGAATATTATCGTTTGCCCACCCTTTAATTTTAAGTATTTATATTAAAAACGTTTGCCCATCTCTAAATATTAAATAATATCACTTAATGTGTTATGTTTACAAGTGTTAAATCCGTAATATCGGTTGCAGAAAGTGCTTGTTACGAAAAAAAAAAAAAACACAAATATTACAAAATTATTATAAAATCTGGTTTGGAAATGGTTCAAATTGCTACGTTATAAAAATTCTACTAAAAATTTTACAATTCAATTTTTCCGTTTTTTAATTTTGCACGAAACATACCAGCTATGGCCAAATAACATCTTACGACAGGTGCCAGGACAAAAAAACACTACTGCATGTGGCAGACAGAGTGGCGGCCATACGATATAAGTCGTTGTTGCAGAATTGTGATCCCGGAA